CCACCCCCGGGCGGGGCGCCCGCGCGCCGTGCTCAGCATGTGTACGCGCGACGGGCGAATCCCCTCTCCTCCCATCTCCCTTTCTGCTCGTTTTCTCCCATCCTTTCCTTCCCAATCCTCCCCTCCCCCTCCAAATTCTCATTCACCTCCTCTTTCTCGTATTTTCTCCTCGAACTCGTTTACCCTCCCCCTCTCACCATCCCCCCGCCCTTTGGGCGCGGTCGCGTCGGGAACCCCGCAGCCGTCCCATGCAGCGAGTCCTACGGCCGCCGGGTCCCCGACTGCGCCGCCCTCGGCGGCTTTGTCTCCGGCGGGCCTCCTCCGCCCCCGCACACCTTTCACGGCGTTCCCGGAATTCGCGTGGGAAGAGCACATGTGCGGGAGCGGGAGGTGGGCGTGGAGGGGAGAATTACCGGAAGTACCAGGCCGTTGAGCTTTTCTTTCCCCACTCGTCTATGGAACGTCGGCCTTCCCCTGCGGGTGGTGGTGGCGGCGACGTAGGAAGAATCGAACAGAATTCGGGTGTGGGAAGCGATAAAGAGCAGTGTGAAACGTGGAGCATGAGGGACAAAGAGGGCGCAAGAAAATATAAAGTATTTTCAAGAGAAAGGAACGGAGTTCGGAAGGGTTAAATAGCATAGAAAAAAAGAAAAAAAAACGAAAGTGGAAGAATATAGAACAGTAAAAAATGTTGGATCTGTGTCAATGAAGCTCTTAGTTGTTTATGATTGGTGAACAGAGTGTAGGCAAGCGCGAGACATGGGAAAGGACTGGGCATGTAGTCACGTGGAGGGTGACCGAGGTTTGTTTGAATGACATTTAACCAGAAACATACGTCCTGTAGACACGAGCTGCAAGAAGAAACGAAGCGACACATCAGTGCAGATCCGCAGCGCGCAGCCCGTTGGACGGCGCGGTGAAGAGGGCAGGGGGCCCGGGGCGCTTACCTTCACGGTGAACACGGCGTCGGTGTGCTGCAGGCCGTCGGAGGCGCGCACCGCCAGCCGGTACGTGTCCTTGGTCTCGCGGTCCAGGGCGTCGCGTAGGCGCAGCACGCCCGACACGGCGTCCAGCTCGAAGTGGCCGGCGCCGCCGTCGGCGTCGGCGATGGCGTCGGAAGCGTCGGCGGAGGCGGAGACGGAGGCGGCGTCGAACGAGCCGGAGCCCGCCGCGCCCAGCAGCTGGTAGCGCAGCTCGCCCAGGGTGTCCGGGTCGGTGGCGCCGAGCGTGGCGACGGCGTGGCCCACGGGCAGGTCCTCCGACACGGCCGTGACGAGCGCCGCGCCGCGGAACGACGGCGGGCTGTCGTTGCGGTCCAGCACGGCCACGTGCAGCTGCAACGGGAGAAGGAGGCCCGTGAGGCGGCGTTCACCACGCCCCCACCTGCGCCCCCCACCTGCGCCACGTGGGCGGAATGGTCGCGTACTACATGCGGGCTGTGGGCGTGGGCCATCCCATAATACTCAACTCGGGGAGCGCAAGGTAGCTCAAGTGGGGACATTATTACGCTAACCTATGTTTGCCGCTGTGATTTTGTTTGGCGCCCCGGAATTTCGTTTCAATCGACGCAGCGCATTTGTTTTCGACATAAAACGCAAACCAAACTTCACTTGCGGTCAATTTACTTGATAAATCATATCATCCCTTCATTCCCATCCAGCAATCAACATGGCAGCGATCGCTTGATCAGATTATAGAAACGACAGGTGCACTCCATACTGATTAGTTATATTAAAAAACGACCAACAACAATATTTTCGCGCTAATTTTTCATCTTATTTGTGTTTTTAACACGCCTTTCAACCAGAATCTCTATTCGGGACAAATTGATGAATATCTAGTTTGCCAAGACCCTGCGCATGACGTAACTTCTAGGAGAGATGAAACTGGAATGCGCTCGCAAGCCGGGCGCGCAGAAGAGTTAGTGCTCCAACACAGTAACAAGCCGAAAGTTAAAACACGTCTGCACTTGGCAAATTACATTTTAAGGAAACAAGGAACAATGAACATAGTATGTCTCATTCAAAATTAATAGGAAAGGAGTCTAAAATCACATCAATAATTGAAATGAAACAATAGTTTTCGTAGTAATGCTTCTTTTCATTTGTTCAATTGTGAATAATGCAATTCACAAATATTTCAGCGGCCAGTTCATTACTGTACCCGTATAGATATTTATTTTTAGAAGCAGTTAACAATAGTATTTTGCCCATTAAATTATTATTTATTTAACATCAAATAATAGAATGTGGGACATATGGGGGACAAATGCAACTTATGTACGCTTTCTTCAGCTCTAGAATCCCTCCTTCCTTCGTTTTAATACAATACTAAGTAGAATTTCATAAATGTAGCAACGAGCGTTTTTGGAAAAACTTGATAAGATATATTAACTCCTAACAAATGAAACCATTTGCATCAGCAGCTGAACTACAGACTTTGCCTTTGCAAAGAAAGGAAACGGCTCATTACAACAAGAACATGGGAAACACGATTACTTGATGGTACTGTTTCCGAAGTACGTATAACTTTATGCCCACTAACACCCCACAGAGCTCATGAAAAACAAGCATCGACAGTGAAGCTACTTTTACCTGTCGAGATGCAAAAGAAGGGGCCATCTCAGCGTTTGGTCAATGAATCAAGGGAAACGGGACGAAAAACCAGATCAGGCCGGGGTCAGTGACCCAGACCCATAATTCTTATCCCAGTATGTGCATTTGTACAAATCTTTCAAGAGCGAACAATTACTACGGATATACGGACGAGAGAGTTTTCGGGAGGGTCGCGTCCTCTGCTGCGCTGCGAAGAATCCCGGCCGATCGCAGAGTCCCGCGCCCGGCCGCGAGCGAGGCGTCGCGAGGGTCGTGTGCTCACG